AATTAGCAAAACCTTCCAGAGAAAATGTTTGAATACATAACACAAAGGCCTGTTCTCTTTGGGAAACATCGACCACTTCCGAGGTGCAAGGCACATACATATGTCCTAAGTCAGAGGCACATTCGTGAAAGTACCAAGCTGGAGTAATAAAGATTCGGGAGATGATTATTGTTTTGGGGGATGAATCGCTACTTGTCTGTACTGTGAGGAGATCGAGGGTGTTTGTAATTTAATGGATTAATCATTTATGTCTGAAGTTCTTGCTCCCTCCTATGAGAGCAATGTGGGAGGTTTGCATGAAGTTATAAATCATGTCAGTATTTGGGTCTCATCTCTGGGAGGCCTCATCTATGGGAAAGTTATACCAATAATTCAAGAGGCAGTAGTTGCCTGGAAGCGTTTTCTTTAGCCACTAGGCCAAGGCAGAGTCACGGGTGGAGAAGCTTCAGAAGATGGTGGCCCAGCCTGTATGTGGAGTCCTGTCCTGCCACCTGGGAGTGGAGTAGTTCCAGGGAGGAAAAGTTTATATTTTATTCCTGGTTTGGCAAACTTCTCTGGGTCTTGATTTTCCCATCTGTATAATGGGTTGGAGGCTCTGAGGGGCCACCAGCTCAGAACATCTGTGTCCACTAACTACAGTTCAATATGACTTGAGACAACCCAAAATCTCCCCCATATTTGTCCCACTTTGGACTTTGAACTATATCTGTGCCAGGCATTTTATAAGCATTTTCTACATATCCTATCTCATCAGGCCTGTATGGCAGGAGGTGCTGTTGTTATTCCCATTTTACAGGTGGGTTTATTTGCCTTAAGACTGTATGTCAAGAAAGTACCGGCAGTAGGACTTGAACCAGCTCTGTCTGGCTCAGAGTTCATGTCCTGACCCTTTGACAGAGGTGTTGCCAGCTCAGGTCTACCCTGTGCCTAGGGTGGAACAGCACCAACCCAGCTCCTGTCCCCAGGAGTGGTCTCTGGGACTCTCTGGGTCTCTGTGGCCCACCGGCCATGCATTAACGCCCCAGCACATCTGCCATTCACTTGGAGTCTTCTGAACCCTGTCCTCTTCTCCCTTCGTCATTCTCTCCTTCCTGTCCTTCCTCTGAGGAAAAGCTAGCTGGAGACATGGACACAGAACATCGCCCCTATCTGCATGTCTGGGGCACTACCTCAGCTCAGTAAACCACAGACCATCTGCCAGGCCGAGAGGGGACCAGCAGGGACCTCCAAAAGCCTTGCTGGGCAACTGAGCCAAATTCTACCCAAGCTACTCGGGGCTACGTTTCAGGCTTTTGACTCATGTTTGGGATGGGTGGTGGAAAGGAACAAATCCCACAGATGAATTTGTTACTGCCTTCTTACTCCTTCCTCACGGGACTCCTTAGGAAGGCAGCGTTCCTTCTGTCCTGAGCACCAGCCCTGCCTTCTCAACCTTCCTAGGCCCTCTGACTGGAAGCTTACACCCTTTGGCACACGTCGCAGCCTGCAAAGCTCCCCTTGCCCATGGTGTCTGTGAGCCTTCCGCAGTGACCCAGCCTCCTGGGAACTGGAGTCGCACTGGGAGTCTGCACAATGGTCTGCTGAGCCCCCGCTGGAGCTGGGGGACACCAAGCCATGCGGCTCACCAGCTTCAGTCCTGCTGAGGGCAGGGGCTGGGCCTTATCATCGCTGCTGTGGGTCCTTCCTAGATTCTCCCTAGGCCAGCTGTTTCTGATCAGGTCTGAACGCAACACAGGGACACAGATAAATGAGGCAGGGCTCCTGTCCCTTGTCCCCTGCAGTGTGCAGCCCACAGCAGCTGAACATTGACCTGACGGACTGCCCCTGCATCTCACATCCGGATTCTCCAACGGCAACAACACCATGCCCCAGCAAGGAGGGGAGGGCAGGGCTTGACAGCCTGAGCTTTGGAGTCAAGACCTGTTCTGCAGTTCCTAACTGTAGGGCTGGGGGTCGCGGGCAAATCACTTGCTCTCTGAGCCCCAGGCTCCTAATCTGCAACAGGGATGTGTCTGCCGTAATTGTGTCTTTCAGACCATTCTAGTTTCAACAACACCTTCCCATCTCCCCACACAGATATGACTCTTTCCCCTCTAGTCCAACACAGCAAGCTGAACTCTTGGAATACCGTGAACACCTTCCATCTTGTTCTCAGGTCAGCAGGCCGTGAACCTGTGTCCTTCAGCCACAACACCAGGTTTATATTAGCATAATGCTCCCATGAGGGGAGCTGGTTAATGGATGCAAACGCCATCCTGAGTGCCTGGGAATCAGCCCAGCCCAAGGACCTGGGGCTCCTGGAGCCAGGGCCACCTGAATGGCCTAGCCCAGCTGCCATGGAGCCAAGCAGAGTGAGCAATTTAATGAGGTAGAAAACTGATCACAAAATAAAGAGGTCCCAGTGTGTTTCCTCCAACTCAATGGATAGTTCCTTGGCTGGAAGAGAAGCCTGAAATCTCTAAGCAATTAGTAAATGGATCTCAAATGGCCTCTCTTTGGAGCTCGGTGGGAAGGTTTTGCTCTGTTTAGACTTCCCCAGGGCCAAGAGCAGCCTCTTCAGTGGAGACTGGGCAATTGCTGGGCTAGTGGTGGGGAGAGGGGGAAGGGGGAGGGGAGAGGGAGGAGGTGGAGAGGGACTAAGGGGGGAGGAAAAGGGGTAGAGGGGAGGGAAGGGAATAGAGGGGATGCTGGAGGTGGTGGAGATGGTGGGGGTGGTGGGGTTTTGAGGGAGGGAGGGCCGGAACACAGCTTCAGGGTCAGCTGTGTGGTCTGCTTCTGGCCTGGGAGAGCCTATTCTCTACTTTGAGCCCAGCTGCACCTCAGGGTTTTTGTGGGTCAGGGCCTTGCTCCTGGATTTGGCACTGGATTTGGTGAGGAACTGGCCCATCCACATCAGGAGCTCATTCACAGAGTTCTGGGGGAACTCGGAGCAGAAGGGCCCTCCTAGCACCATGAACTTGCCACTTAAACGTATTAAGGCATTTAAGACCACAGAGTCTCCCTCAGGAGCACCAGGCTCACCTGTCCAGGATCTCACCTGCGAGTTCCTCAGCAGGTGGCCCCTCTCCCTGCCTCACAGATTGCTTTGGAGGGAGTAAAGGGGACAAGGCTCAAGTCCTCTCCTTGTGCTGTTCTTGTGAAGGGTGGGCAGGATATGAAGGGGTGAACTGAGGATCTGGGAATATTGGTTATTTCCCTTTTCCAGGCTTGTCTGAGGACCCGAGGGCAAACCATATGGAGTTGTTCTGCAACGAAACATTCCCCAACATCGTCCAATGCCCCTTGGCAGTTTTAGATGGCAAAGCCCTCTACACGCTGCAAAGCACAGGTCCCCGCCCAGGAGTGGCCCCTGTGTGGGGAAAGGCACAGACACTGCCTGCAGGCTGCACAATCCCAGCCTGAGTTGGCTCACCCAGGGGGCGTTCGAACTAAGAACCCCTGGGCTACTTCTGGTAGAATCCAGAGACTTCATTGTTGGCCTGGCTTCAAGCCAACAAACACAGCCATGAAACTCCATGAAAGGATTAAGTATATCCCAGCTCAAGGGAAATACTAATAAAATATGGCTTAGCATGCATGAGTATAAAAATCCCTAAACACCCTGTAGGACAAATGCGCAGGCGAGCTGAGCTCACCCAGTGGCCCTTAAATGGCTTGTCACCCTGGATCCCAGAGGTAAGTGAAATTGAACTTCATTCTTGACACCTTGCGCACTTTATCTCAGAGCAGAAGCCCTGAACACCAGCTGGCTCAAAGGATTTGGGGCTGACTGGGAGCTTTCACAATATTCCCTGACGCATGAACACCTGCTCAGACCTGCTGGGTGACAGGTGAGGCCCAGTTGGGCTTGGCCAGATGACTGATTTCCCTGGGGTGCTGATCTGCCATGCACTGTGGGGAGACAATAGCTTGTTTGCTCTGATTGCTAGAGTGGCCAGGTTGGGGCACAGGTCCTGGGTCGGGAACAACACCTGCTGGTGGTGCAACCCCAGGCAGATGACCTTATCCAGAAACTCTTTCATAAAATGGGTTAAAATATACCAACTGGGAGAGTCTATGTCACATGTAAGCACAGGACTGGCAAGAGTAAGTGCTCAGAAAACATGGGCTGCTGTAATCAATGCCCTCATCAGGTGGGGTTATTTCTCCCCGGTTCTCAGGAGTCCTGGCAACACAGGGGCCTGTGAGAAGCACAGGGGGTCTCCTAAGTCTGCTCAGGTTAGGGCTTGGCTTGGCCCCAGCGGAGGCTCGTTAAGGCTCTTGGGGAGGGAGATGGGAAGCCTCTGTTGGAGGAAACGGTGCCTCCCAATTGGATAAGTGACATGGGCCCACACCACCGAGTCAAGTGATGGGTTTTAGACTGTGTCTGCTTCTCACTGGAGCCAAGACCACAGGAGGTCACCACTGCCACCATGTCACCTAAAGGGCGCTGCTGGAGCATGAGCTATTGAGCGTGACTGGCCTAAATGACTCACCCTCTTGCACCAGGATCCACTCATCAGAGGGAGCTTTGCGTGACGCCGAACACGGAAATGAGTTGGCGGACGTTGCCCTTGTCCCACTGCTCCCCTTTACTTATGAGAGATGGGGTGTTTTGGGGTCAAGTATTTCTACAAGACAGACTACAGGAGCGGGGAGGGTGGTTCTGAGCAGCAAGTTTGGGAACACTTTGAGGGGACGACATGCACGGAGCCATTTACTAACCATTCACCTGCAGGACGTGGGTCTGGAACAGCTCCTCGTGGCCGGAGGCGTGGCAGGTGTAATTGCCCATGTGGATGGTGGTCACCTTGGTGATGTAGAGGGAGTCGTCCTCTCCGAAGTCCTGCATGGGGCAAGGAAGACAACGAGGTTGGTCTCTCCATTGTCTCTTGAAGCCAGGTCTCCCGGTTTTCCAGGAAAACACAAACGCTGAGACTTCCCGCCTGCCCCCTTGCTCAGCCAAGGCGGCACAGGAGGAGCTGGTCAGCAAGAAGTCCACCTCCTTTCCATGTCACTTAGCCCAGACCCTCCTCGTACGTCCGTTTAAGGCTTTGTTCACCTTCTTGGGGAGGCCGCGCTTGAACACCTTCTCCAGCAGCTTCCCTCTCAATTTCTAGGAACTGGGCTCACCTGCCCTCGTATTTATTGGCTGGTTTCCTGGGCTCCTGCCCACCTGCTGAAAAGCTCTGTGCCTGGAGGGTGCCCTGTTTAGCCACAGGCAAACTTTTTCTTAAAGGGCCAGATAGCAATTTTTTTGGGGGTGTTTTGGGGCATAGGGTTTCTGTCAATTACTCAGCTCTGCCTTGTAGCACGAAAATAGCCATGACAATACATAAATTAACCAGTGTCGCTATATTACAATGAAATTTTATTAAAAAAAAAACAGGCACAGGCTGGATTTCGCCTGTGGGCTTATAGTTAGAGAGCCCAACCTTGATACCAACATAATTTCAGGCAGCTTGCAGAGATCTGGATAACTCAAGAAAGGAAATACAACTCTGAGGAAAACAGGGCAGACAAAACCAAGAACAGGGCATAAAAGAGAGCCAGGAGGGGTAATATGTGTGTGTTGGGGTTCTGTGGGAAATGGCTCCCTAAGCTTTGTCTGTATGAGCTCTGCAGCTCACGCTGTGGGCTCCTATTGAGTCAGTGCATAGAGGAGGGATGGGCAGGAGGGGGCTTTTGGCTGGTCAGAGGCCCCTGATGAGTGCTTGGGCACAGGGCGCTTCCCCAGGGCCTTTTTGGTCAGCTACAGTCTCTCTAGCAGAACCATACACAGTGCTGGCCCTGTTCAGGCCCAATGCAGACACGCTGGAGGATGGAAATACCCGGTGTATCAGGGGAACCGCTCATCAGGTTTGGCTTTAGCTACCAAACATCTCTGAAGTGTGGTGCTCGGAGCTGATGGGACAGAGGAGGGCCTGGCTCACTGCTGAGAAATGACGGTGTAGTGCCAGCCGTGAGGTGATGGGGACTCAGCGCCGGCGCTCAGGAGACTCAGGTTTTAGCTTGAACTCTGTCATGGATCAACACCCCCTCATGCCTCTGGTCACTGGTGCCTGACACCTGTAAGTTATGGGCAATCCATGTGCCCTGCCTGCCTCATGGGGTGTTGGGAGATCTGGCACTAGAGTGCCCGTGAGAACGTTTGCCAATGTGGGGAGTGTGACGTGCATGGGGGAGGTTACTCTTCTTGTTATTATTGACAGGAGATGCGAAACTCCTTTTGACCCCCTGGAGCCAACACCGAACCGTCCTTCTTGCTGTTCCCCCGGCCCTTCTCCACAGAGGCAATCTGGTGGCAGGAGGGAGGGCCACCGGTCAGTTGTCTAAGGGCAGCCACAGGGCAGCTCCGGCTCCTTGTTCCTATTAGTGCTCCCGCTCCCCAAAACACTGACCCTCTCTCTGCCTTGCTCACACTCGAGAGGGCTCTGCCACAACCCTCATGAGTCCTTGACAGATGCTCTCTGGCTAATTAGCCAGATGAGAGTGTGCTGGCCCAGAGAGAGGCCTGGGTCAGGGCTGAGGTGGGACGGTGGATGGTGGACACACAGCCAGCTTTCAGGATCAGGAGAAAAAACGCCCAATAGCGCTCTCAATGGAGTAAAATATTGGAGAGGGCTGCCGGAATCCCGCAAGCTTTCTCTGAAACATTGCTCTTCTTGAAAAAGGCACATTCCTATCATTCTGGGGAAGCTTCAAGAATGCTAACAAAACACCAGATAGCTGATCTGCCCTGTGTCATAACAGAGTCACAAAGGGTTCATACCTGAATTGTTTATGAAAAGTTAGTGGTTAGTCAATTCTGGGGCTGACATGTCTAGTCTAAGCTGTTTCCTGTGTCACAACCTAAGTCTGGAGGAAAATGTATTTTGCCCAAGTCTCAGGGGTGGTATGGCATCTTGAAAGAGGGCTGGGAACCTGGGTGCAGCCCCCAGCTTGGGAGCCCCTGAACACCTCACTCCAAAAGGGAGCCTCAGAGCTGCTTGCTGGGAGTCTGGTGGTGGGGCCCCGACATTCCGCTCCACATGGTCTTCCTGAGCCTCCATGCCCACAGCCCTTCCCCATGGGAGGGCCCTTGAAGCCAGTCTGGGGCTCTGGCATCCTCTGCTCTTATTGTCATCTTGATGGGGTTGTGTGGTCATGGGGACCACAGCATTCCTTAGGCTGAGAAGTGCCCCAAGGCCAAGGTTTCCAAGGAACAATTGCAGAATGATGCCACCATCTTCAGGAGCTAACTGTGCCAGGAAACTTGACCTATATCACCTTGTTTAATCCTCAGGAAACCCCCGGAAAACCATAAACCGAACAAAAGCCCAGTGACCCCGTCCTTGACATCACATTCAGAGTCTGACCTCTTAGCACCTCCACTGCGGCCATCACGAGACAAAGCACCATCTTCCCTCCCAGGGGATGGCAGGGACTTCCGCCTCTGCCCCTCTGCGGTCTGCCCTCCATACAGCAGCCAGACTACACCCCTCCTGGTCCAGAGCCACAGCCCGAGAGGGTCTGCAGGGGTGATCTGCCCATCCCCTCTCCCACTCCACCTCCTTCCACTCTCCCTTGCTCATTCCACTCCAGCACTGTGGCCCTTTGCTGTTGCTCCAACATGCCAGGTATCCTCCCCTTCAGGAACTTTTTACTTGCTGCCCCCCTCTCCCCAAAGGCTATCAGTCTGGCTTGCTCCCTCCAAGTCTGCTCAGATGTTATCTGGTGCTTTATCTTTAACCCCCACCCCAAGCCCCTGCAACCTTCCTGCTTTATTTCTCTTCCTGACACTTGCTACCATCTAGCGTACTATTGTTTACTTGCCTTTTTTGCAGTCTGTCTTCCCCCACGGGAACCTGAGCTCTGTGGGGGAGTGCAGGGGCTCTGTGCATGCAGCTCACGGCTGTGTCTCCAGCACCTAGCACAGGACCTAGCTAGCACATAGTGGGCCTTTCGTAGATATTCACTGAGTGGATTGCACAAGGTGCTGAGTTAGGCTTTCTGAAGAGACTGTTGTGGTTCTTTGGGTTTGACCACTGAGGCGCCCACCTCCTGCCTGCCCATTCACCTAGATGTTGCCGGTCACACAGGGTCAAAAAGAGGGGGCTGGTGGGAAGGCAGAGAACTGGTCTCCCCTACCTCCCCACACTGCCTCCTCCATGCTGTATTTCTCAGGGCAGAGCTCACTGGAATTGACTGAAGAGAAGGATCAACTCGGAGCAGGCATGCTCGGAAGAGCGCATGCGTGGAAGCCCACGCCAGACGCGACGGGCAACATCTGGTGAGCCCCTAACAAAGTCATCTCACTTCACTGTCTGCTTTCCCTCCGTGCTGCCAGAGGCAGAGGCATAACTCCTGGGTGATGACTCAGGTGCTGAGGGGTGCGGATCAGCTCTTCAAGGACACGTGGGGCTGCTGGATGTGTTCTGGCTCTACGTGGAGCACCTCACTCATTACCAGCCCGTGATGCCGGCTCTGGTGAGACCCTGACTATAATAAATAAAATAATGTCTCTGGGATAAAACAATTGGCATCATATAATTATAGAACGAAGTGCATATTGTTTTCTGGAACATGAACACTGGCTACAAAAATCAAATTTACCTCGTTGGATGTGAGGAAATTACTTTAAAAATTGATTTATAAGAAGCTACATAAAGCTCAACCTGCAATCCTTACTCTCCTGAATGTTCTTTGAGATGTGTCTGAATGCTGCCATCAATGCTTGATTGCACCTCTGTAATTGTCTTTTTATGGATGGCTTTCCCCCCACTCTGATGCATAGAAATGTATTAGCAAAATCAAGGTTCCTTCCACAAATAAACAGGTGCCAGATTAGACCATTCTTTGTACTGATGCACATCCATCTGTGGGAAAGAGACAATTTTACTTAAAGATATGGTTTTTGCTTTTAAAAAGCTATTTTCTCAGTACCTGCCTTTGATGAAGTAATTAAATGAGACTTAAGTATTGAACGATAAGCAGAGGTGAGATGGGGATGTTGTCATAATGATGCAGGCGGGTCAGGTGTAAGTAATATGAAAATGAGTCATCGATGCTGAGTATCGAGTGACTAAATGTTAAACACAGGGACTCCAGAGTGATTGCAGTTTGGGTTAATGATACCATCAATGCTACAAGTTAAAACTCAGTTTAAAACATTTATTTAGAGCTTTCCCAACTCTGCCCTTTTCAGGCATACCCCTGGCTCTCTTTGGGGAGGATGGACTAAAGGGGGTGGTCTTTGCCTTCATGCTGGTTCCATTCTGGCTTCTAGAATTTTACTGACTTGAGTCTCCCACTTGTACAGACATTTGAACACAATGGACCCAAACATTGAGCAACAGGCAGTGCCTTGCTGATGGTCAGTCCTCAGAAGGATATCTGCACTCACACAAACACACTTGCCTGTCATCCAGACCAAGCAACGACCAGAGACATCAGTGGCACAAGGACCAGTGGCACACGCAAACATCCATGTGGACACACACAGTAAATGTGAGCATGCACGCACATGCTCGTTCCAACCCACTGGCTCTCTATAGCTGACCTCCTGGCCCACACTGGGGCACCTATGCTGGTCCCTTTTTTCCAGCCCCTCAGAGGACAGACTTGCTGCTCTGCAAGGACCTGCAGAACCAGTCCTCTTGCTCAGAGTCCTCTTAAAAAAGAAGTCCATAGAACTTGGAGAGATCCCTCAGTAGCTGCTAAGTCTCCAGGGGAGGGCTGCTATGGACAGTCACATTCAGTGTGTCCTCCTGCCCATTCCCAGGCCCAGGAGAGGGAGCCAGAGGCATGGGAGAAGGACTCCTGGCTTCCCTGGGACTGCAGGGCGTGTGTGGTCACTGGCTGACT